TAGGGGTTAATTTTTGAGGGAGGAAAGCGAAAAGACCCCCCTCTTCAAGGGATGGGGGGCCTCATGAATTAATAATTCACGTAAAAGTATTTTACGCAATATCCTTCTTATGAATTAAAAAAAAACAGGAAGGGAAATTTTCCTCTGAGAATTTCTCCTTCCATCGTTTGAATTGAAAAATTACCATTCCAGGAAGTTGGCGGTAATTGGCGCTGGTTTGATGGGTAGTGGCATAGCAAATGTTTCCATTGACAAAGGTATTCAAACGTATTTGGTGGATATGAACGATATAGCCATAGCACGTGGCCAAAATCACATCCACAAGCACTACGATGGGCTAGTGAAACGGCGTCGAATCACGGATTATCAGCGACATAAATTTATGGCAAATCTCAAACCCACTTTTTCGTATAGCGATTTGCGCGATTGCGACGCTGTTATCGAGGCTGTATTCGAAGAATTACCGCTGAAACACAAAATCATCAAGCAGGTTGTTTACGCGTTTTTTTGGCATCTATGCATTGCAAAAACAAATATTGTCGCAAAAGCTACAAGGCTGAAACTTTGAAAAATTAATTTACACGCATGTACTGGTCTCTGTCGCTCGAAATGGATTCTCGTGCCCAAAAAAAAGTACAAGGCCTGTGAAAATTTTTGGCGGGTAAATTGCTAACTCGGGATCCAGATAAGCTAGAAAGCTGAAATTTTAAAGGGATGTTTTCCGACAATCGTGGTGGCCAGTCTCAGTTGTTTTAGCCAGAAGCATGTGCAGTTAAAAAAAGTGCCGTTAGCAACAAAAACCTGCGGGAATCTATGCAAATTCGCACCAGCAGTCGGTGCCCTGACCAATTATTTTTACTCATTTATAGCAGAATTTTTTTTTTGCTACATTATTCGAAAATTATAATTTTTTGAACGACTTGAATAAAAAGTACGTAGGTTTTTCTGGTTGGAAAAATTTTGGAAATTTTTTGTTTTTGACAATTTTCATTATTTTTAATCAGAAGTCCTTTTCTGGCGTTTTTTGTTTGAGTGTTTATGATTTTTTATTAGATTTTTTTAAACGGCTAAGGCGTAAAAAGACTCTATGTCTTTTTCCTGAGGTTTTTTTTGATATTTTTCTATTTACATTAAAAATTTTTTTACTTTTTTTGAATTGAACATTGTTGTTCTGAAATCAGGTGTTTGACATTTTTGAAGGGAACCTAAAAAGCTTTTTTTACCTTGAAATTTTTTAATATTTCTCCTCTTCAGCCCTCCAAAACAAGAAAAAGAAAAATAGAACAGTACCTTTATCCTGGAGCTATGGAACAAAAAAGAAATTAATTTTCCGGAAAAGCGGAAAAATTATTAAGCTGTTCAAAAAAACAAAAAAAAAAATTTTCAGAAAAATTTTTTTTAAAATTTTTACAGCTCGAATCGGTCGTCCCAGAGCACTGTATTATTGCATCAAACACTTCGGCACTTCCAATCACCCAAATTGCATCAATATCCACGCGACCGGAACGCATCATCGGGATGCATTATTTTTCACCGGTCGAAAAAATGGAGCTCTTGGAAGTGATAACAACAAAGAAGACAAGCAAAGAAACTATTGCCAAAGCAGCCCAGTTGGGTTTGGCACAAAATAAATTAGTGGTTATCGTGAAAGTGAGTGTAGAAGCTTTATTTTTAAGAAATTTATTATTTTTTTACATTTTTCCGAGGGGTTTTTTTTGTTTTTTCTTGAGTTTGCTATTTTTTCTTATTTCGAAGAATCTGTTTTTTTTTGCTTTCTATGGGGTTTTTTTGAGTTTCCTATATTTTTGGAAAATTTATTTTCTTTTCTCGCATTTTTCTGAGAATTTTTTTTTTTGGAGCTTCCTAATTTTTCCGGTTTCAAAGAATCTGTTTTTTGATGACTTTTTGGGGTGTTTTTTTTAAGTTTCCTGTTTTTTCTTATTTTGGATAATCCTCTTTTCAAGGGTTTTTTTTTTAAAAAAATTAAAGGTTGAAAATTCAGCTCAATTCATTTTTTCAAGATTTAATTTTAATTTTATTGCTTATGCATTTTAGAAAGTTTTCAGGTTTACACCAAATAATTCTTTAGCATTTACTTACACTTCTGTATAGAATTCCTACTTTCTGCGCTTATTTTTATAAATCCGCATTTTTTTGCACTACCGATCCAGGCCTACAATTTTCATATTGTTGAAGTGTTTTTTTTTTTTTTTCAGGATTGTCCAGGATTTTTTGTTGTTCGCTGTCTAGCACCAATGATGAGCGAAGCTGGCCGATTGTTGCAAGAAGGTGTTTCACCGGAAGAATTGGATAAAATAACGAAAGATTATGGTTTCCCGGTTGGCGCAGCAACCCTGATGGATGAAGTAGGCTTGGATGTATCACAACATGTTGCCGAATTTTTAGGACAAGTATGTTATTTTTTGTATGTTTAATTAACGCAAGTACATGTAGCTGCCACTGTCTAGATAGTTTTAGAACAGAAAAAGTATGTTTGTTTGAATCTAGGTACCGCGTATGTCAATGGATCGAAATACCCCTGAAAGGTGTCGGGCCAGACTAAATTAGAACAAGGTTTATTACACGCGATAATAATTACAGGCGCGAGTAGGATAAAGATAAAGTAGATCACAGACGAAGCGAAGTGTGTCAGCCGGCACTGTTGATAGCAGGTGAACGCGGACCGCGAACGTCGGATCCTCGAGCTTATATACTGCTCTTCCTGCAAGTAATATCATGAGTCACAATCTCTAACAACGAGGATTGAGAATGTTCTGCATGGGAATCAAGGAAGGGATTTTACCATCGTAGATCTTGCGAGAGACGGCAGGGGCACAGGTAGTCTGGGAACGAGAGAATCGGATTCCTGTTGGAGATCCGATCTCCGCTGAGAACGTCGATTCTCGACGTCCCGCTGGAATGTCATCGAAAGATTATGCATTCTATTTATTTTATTTTATTTTTTGGGTTTTATCATTTGGGATGGCGGGTAGGGGGGCAAGGCGATGTATTCGCCTTTACAGAACGGTGGCATAGCCCGATTTTTTATCATTTTAATATTTCAGGCTTTGGGTCCACGTATTGGTGGTAGTTCAGTGGAGCTATTGAAGGAAATGGTAGCATCGGGTTTCAAAGGTCGCAAATCCGGAAAAGGATACTTCATCTACGGAGGCTCCACGAAATTAGGTTCTTTGTTTGGTAAAAAGAAGAAAGTGAATGAAGCTGCGGCTAGAATTCTTCAAAAGCACCGCCTGAATCCTGTTGTGAATATGTTAGTTTTTCAACAATATTCAATGTTTTGATGTTAAAAATAAAACAGAGAATGTGAATGTAAAGCAGAATCGTTTAAATGAAGTTTAAAAAAGTCAAAAAATTGAGTCCAGGATGAAATTTTATCGAAAATGATGTAAGTTAACAGAGGGATTGTGAAATTTAGCTGAAGGTATGCTAGGTTTCAGCACAAAAATTCAAAATTTGCCTCAAAAAAACATTAGAAAAATTTAAAAAATGTGAAATTACGCTGAACAAGTGACGTAAT